CGCCTCCCTTCTCGAACCCACAAGCAGGTCCCAGGGGCTTCCAGATGGGGTTCTCTATGACCCTTGCCCCAGTGCCTCCGCCTTGCCAACACACCTCAGCACAAACTCACCGGCGTGTGTACTATCTGTCCACACAGTTGCTGCTGCTGTCCAGCAGCCGGCGCTATTACACTACACATGTAACGAATAATGAACATCATCAATATATATTTTTAACCAATTGTCCATTTTGTGAGGTATATCCTAACCAGCAAGTAACTGCAAGCGAATACAAAAACATTTCTACGTATGCCCCGCTTGCATGAGGTAATGTGTTCGCGCCCATTACTCTTGTAAACCAACATTGTTTACGATCAATGCGTTTAGAAAGGTTTTTATATCATACTATGTTATACCAAATGGATTACAATGTTATCGTGGTTATATTGGCAGATTCATACAACATGATCATTCACCACTGACTCTCGCATATGATATAATTTCACGATATTTATAAATCACCTCACATACCCCCAGGGATTTGCTTACTGACAGTTGAGAACCACTGCTCTATATAATGTGTGCTATAACGACGACTCGAACACAGGTTCTTTGGGTAAGGCTCAGATGAGCGAAACTCTTTAATGTGTGTGTAGTCTTGTAAAATGACTCAGACTGACACGTTGTAACAGGTCACCTGCTTACACTTTATTAGCATATTCTTGCACCAGTTGTAGGCACTTCTATCACTGTCGCTACGGTCACTTCTGTTAACCAATTCCCACCCTTATCTACGCTACACCTCGCTAACCTGCACACAGCAGCTCTCGCTCTCAGCAGCTCTGCACTCAAGGCTCCGCAAACAGCAGCGCTCACACAGAGGCTTGCACACAGCAGCCCTCACACAGAGGCTTTCACACAGCAGCACTCACACAGAGGCTTGCACCCAGCAGCCCTCACACAGAGGCTTTCACACAGCAGCGCTCCCGCAGCCTACGTTCCCTCAGACCCACTCACTCGTCCGACCCAGGCGGGGGGATCAACCATCACCCACCCCGCGACTCGTGAGGGTTGAGGTCCGTTCTCGGCAGCGGCGAGACATCTTCTCTCTCTTGCACCCCGCAACACGAACTCTCGCTCCGCTCTCAAACACGTCCTTATATCCCCCTCCCAATTGTCCAGCTCCTCCCTTGTGTTTCTTTAGGGCCAGACAAGCTAGCGCCTGTCAGGCCATCAATTACCCCTGAACTCACGTCTCCCTGGCAACACCTCCGGTGTCAGCGTGCAACCCCGGGCCGACCCGGTCTGCACCTGCTTCTCTCCCAAATTAGGTGGCTGTTTTCCCGTGCAACGTTATGTTGCACACGCGCACGTGTTTGTCCTCGGTTGCCCTGGGCCAACAGTGTGCACCACATATTCCACCACACTACATGTGTACAAAATGTATCAGTTTAATTATATTATAAGCGTATTCGTGAGTAAAATCTTCAAATTAATACACGACAACATTCGTATAGACTCAATATGATACCTGCATTGGGAGCTCATCTCAAACACAACTTACCTGGCCAACACCAGAACATAACTGAGAACCAGTTTAACACGCAGTATTGCTTTCGCGACCAATATTTTGCATAATCAAGGGGCTTTTATAAATCCTTTATATTAAGTTCGCTTGCTTGCGTGGTTGCTTGCTTGCTTACGACCGTGAAAATCTTTCGGTCGTTTTTTAACCCACTTCCCGTGAGCCAATCGAGCTGACATTTTGCACACAGACTTGTTGTGCGAGACAATTAATGTTAGTGAAAAAAAAAATTCAAAAATTTTACACTTTGTAGGCAAAACATTTTTTATTTTACATTTATTTAAATAGAACTCATTCATGGCTTTGGCTGAACGTCACAGTGTAGGAGCCCAGAGCGTAACCCCTCCACAGGCCGTGGCGGAGTAGCGCAGTTGATAGCGCCCTCGCTTCCCATGCCAAAGGTCGCGGGATCGATCCCCGCGTCCTCCACAGGTGAATATATTTTTAAATCCTTTATATTAAGTTCGCTTGCTTGCTTGCGTGCTTGCTTACGACCGTGCAAACCTTTCGGTCGTTTTATAACCCACTTCCCGTGATCCAATCGAGCTGACATTTTGCACACAGACTCGTTGTGCGAGACAAATAATGTTCGTGAAAATGTTTTTCCAAAATTTTACACTGTTTAGGCAAAACAAATGAAATATTTAATTACCAATTGCTTAATACTGGCAGACAATCATCTGACCCATAGGTGGCAGCCATCTCAAGCCAGAGGACGAGAGGACTCTAGCCGCCACGCATATAAAGGATTTAGAGTGAAAAACTTTGTTTTTACTGGTTTACTTGTTTTGGGTTAGATCGTGTAAATATGTGTCGTTAACCCGCCACCACCCGACACAGTCAATTAGTAAGGTTTGTCATGTAAACAAAACGTGCCAACTAGTTACTACTTTAGCCCACCGGTGTGTTGGAAATTAAACTATCCAGCGGTTTCCGATGGGTACGTCTTTAAATATAAGAAGTTGAATCGTCGTCAACAAATGATGACCATTGTTCTTTCTTTTATTGTGTTTGAGATGTTTCTGATTCAAACGGTTTCGAAAGAAAAAATATGCATTGTATGATATTCAAACATGAATAATTCGAAAACGGTATGGATGCCATAGGTGTGGCTCGTTTTATCACCTTGAATAGGCGGTCCAAGATGATGTGTTGTGCCCCTACTGCCAACGCGGTATCTCCACGTTACTCTTGTTTTATTTTTTGACTCTGTCTATCCAGCGCTGGGATCGGCAACCCTTTCAAAGAAGGAGAACAGTTTATTTAGTTTTGGTCTTTGATAAAAATAGTTGAGCTGCACCACACGCACAGCTGCTGCGTGTACACAAACACAGCCGCTGGTATACAGCAGGCGACACCAACACCAACACATTCTAACTTAAACAAAATAGGTGATGTGTTATTCTTCAATAATAACAGTTTGTGACTGTTGTACATTTTGTCGTCACCAAGACATCCCATAGTGACCCCATACCCTGCCATATTTAATACATTATCTTTATGTTAAGATTTAAAGAAAAAAAATAGGCTGCCCGCAAAGGGGGCAGCCAAAGAGCCACAAGGGGGAAGTCAAAAAGCCCCAAGGGGGCAACCAAAGAGCCACAAGGGGAGCAGCCAAAGAGCCACAAGGGGGAAGTTAAAGAGCCCCAAGGGGGCAACCAAAGAGCCACAAGGGGAGCAGCCAAAGAGCCCCAAGGGGGCAGCCAAAGAGCCACAAGGGGGAAGTCAAAGAGCCACAAGGGGAGCAGCCAAAGAGCCACAAGGGGGCAGTCAAAGAGCCACAAGGGAGCAGCCAAAGAGCCGCAAGGGGGGCAGCCGACGAGCCACCACATGCGGCTCCAGAGCCGCAAGTTTCCAATCCGTGACCTAGCAATATCTAGACTATTTCGTTTTCATTATTATTATGCTTGTTTACATAGGAAAGCCTTAGAGTCTCAAGACTCTTTAACAGTAGAGTCCAGCCAAAGTGTAAGCAGTTGGGAGTGATGTTGCTTCTGCTATGACAGGAAACCAGAGAAATCCGGAGGAAACCCATACAGAACAAGGGGAGAAACACAAACTCGACGGAGAAAGATGCTAGCTAGGTCGGGAATCAAACTAGGACCTTGTTGCCAAGTGTTACCACCGCCACCCTGCCATCCAAATATCTATTCGAGGTCAAGTCAATGACGTTCCGCTTTCAGAAGTTGACAGCAGAATTACAGAGTGGGTTGATTTGGTTGCGGGCAGTTTTAAATCCAGTGGCTGGGCAGTGTGGCTGCCCTCTCAGTAACCCTGATCTTGTTTTTCTGGGTGCCTAGCATACGATCTAACCAAAACAACATTTATTATGGATAATATTGGTCGCAAAAACTTGTTAAGCTGGCATCGGGATGGCTGCCATGACTGGTCTGTTGTTTCCTGGGGTTACGAGCTGGCTGAACCACTTTGGGGCGCCACAGTAAGCGAGATGTGAACTACCTCGCCTGGTATGCTGCTGTATATTAGGAGTTGTGTGCATCTCTCCACATTTAAAATCACTTGTGTTTAGAATATTTGGCTGTTATACATTTCCACGTGATGAGCCAGTTCGCTGAGCTATTATCTGTGGCCAGCTGGCTTCTGAAAAAGAGTGCCATAGCTCAGTGGGCCTTATCTGGTAAAATTAAAAAGTTTGTAATAGAGTAGCCCTGTACATGAGGAGTGGAGGGTACAGGTGTTGCTAACCCGAGGTAGTAGGATAGAATAGTCTTAACATTAAAACGGACTTATTAAATTGTTATTAAAAAGATTCTATCATAATATAATTTGTGTTTAAATATCATTTAATTAGATTGGTTAGGACAGGGTATATGCAATTATAACTTTAGTTAGATGAGCAGAGCAACACATGGGTTCGGCCACTTGGCAGCCATATTGACGGCTGGCTTTTTAGATTCATTGAAGCTTTTTTCTCGATGAACACTGCACGTGAATGCAATATACTCGTTCATGGTAAAAAAAACCATTACAATGTTTGACCATACAAAAAAATATACAGTTAATTACCCTCCTCACAACTAGCGTGGTGAAGTATGGTTAAACTCCCAAGCATAACACACGGCCTGGGGAAGGTCTTATTCCAGCAGTAGATTGACAATGAACCACGTTCTTCTTTTAAGGAACAATCATTTGGTCCTAAATACTTCTGATATGGAGACACTTGATGTACGCATCAAATAATTCGCGACGGAATAATTTTCAATGTTACGTGCTTTAAAGATGTTTTTTCTCTGTACCACCATGTTATCTATATAGCCTGACCACTATCGACTTAAGACGTGTTTCTCAATTCGTAACAGGTCAACTCTTGATTGTCTGGGGTTAACGGCGGTCAGAGGACAATCCGGAAAAAACGAATGTAAATTATGATATGCAAATCGTAATTGCGAAACCACACAAAATGTTAATGAAGTAGTAATATTTGGCATTAACATTTTTATTGTTTCTTAATCAGTTTATCTGCATAAATATTGTGCGGTCACGTGGGCAGTGAATAATAGGCCCGCGACGAGTTGCGGAGCGGCTCGTAAAACCAACGCACTTATAATGTGTAAATGTGCGACTCGGATAATGCACCCTTTGATAATTGAGAGTTACCAGCGCATAGGGCCATCCATGGGGGTGGGGGGCCCCCAAAGCGCAGGGCCTGGGGCAGTTGCCCCGATTTGCCGTGTATCCTAGGTACGGCTCTGCACATGCCTCTCAAGGGAATCAATCATTCCATTCTCATTACGTATAGTTAACAGGACACAGTTGGACAACGGTATTATACAAACAAATAAGATTCACCACTCTTACCCGCACATCCGATTAGCACGGTTGGCTACGCACGGTGCGAAAGAAGTTCCACATACGTAAATACATACATCAATGGAGACAGAACTCGGACTCAAGGTTTGCACCCCGGAGTATGCGTTATTGCGTGACTCTTTAAAGTGTAGATCCGCGTAAAGCCCTTCCCGCACTCCTTGCAAACGTGCAGCTTCTCGCCGGTGTGCGCTCTCGTGTGCCTCTCCAAGTCGGAACGCTTTGCGAATCCCTTCTCACACTCCTTGCACACGTGCGGCCACTCGCCCGTGTGCGTCCTTGCATGCCTTTCCAGGTCGGAGCGCTGTGCGAAGCCCTTCCCGCACTCCTTGCACACATGCGGCTTCTCTCCCGTGTGCGTCCTCGCGTGCCTCTCTAGGTCGGACCGCTGCGCGAAGCCCTTCCCGCACGCCTTGCACAGGTGCGGCCACTGACCCGTGTGCATGACAGAATGCACCCTCAAACACTCGCGCCACGTGAACCCCTTCCCGCAATCTTTGCACACGTACGGCAACTCGCCAGCGTGCGTTTTTGCGTGTTTCCCCAGATTGGAACGGTGCGCAAAGCCCTTCCCGCATTCTTTGCACACGTGCGGCTTCTCGCCCCTGTGCAGTCTCAAGTGCGTCTCCAGACTGGCGTGCGTTGAGAATCCCTTCCCACACTCCGTGCACACGTGTGGTCGCCCTCCACTGTGCGTTCTGGAATGCGTGTTTAAATTAGAACGCGTAGAGAACGCCTTGCCACACTCTTTGCACGTGTGCCTCCTCCCGCCGGCGGCGACGGTCGCCACACGCGGCGCGCCGCCTTCAAGTGACTTCCCGCATCGCCTGCAGGTTCGTGAACTCGGTCCGCTGCATCTCGCTTTGTCCGTTTTCGCTCCGGAGGAACCGCCCTTCCCGCACGCCTTGCACAGAAGCCCCCTTCTTTCTGATTCATCTGCCACGAATTTATAAAAAAATATATATAAAATGCAAATGTGAGGTTCGATTAACCGCTGAAAAAACTGTGTGGACGCCGGATGTTGTAACACATATCGACTCGGTTATGAGAAAACGTTGTCTAAAAACAAATGGACAAACAGTACTACGATGTGACAATACATTCTTGTACACTGGCCTCAGAAGTAGTTCCGTGGCATCATCCTCGACCATTTTCTAAATGTGATTAATGATAAAAATAAATGTCAATTATAAAAGCGCTTTCTGCAAAGTACTCAAGGCGCTATACACCACAATAAATCAACCAGTGCTCAAGGGAAGGAAAAACGAAGAAGTATTGGAGACAACTGAGAGAGCTGAAAGCAAGAGGCAATAAATGCACTTTGAGGAGGTAGCAAGATGCTATCTGCCTCGTCTGGTATTCAGGAGGTCGTGGGTTTGATCCCGACCTTGACGCCTGCTGCTGTATATTTGGAGTTTGCATATCTCTCTCCCTGTGGTCGCATGTTTTTTTTTTCCGGGTTCCCCCAGTTTTTCCATCAACATTTAAAATCAATATGTATTTAGAATATTTGGCTGCTATAAATTTCGATAAGCCACTTTGTTGTGGGCCTTACCTAGTAAAAAAAATAGCATAGTACAGTCTGTTCTCCTATAACGCGTGTTTTCAATACGCGAATTGGATATAACACGATGAATGTATTAAGGAACACATTTCTATAAGGCAGAAGTGAAATGGATATAACGCGATAGAGTGAACGGAACTACGTCGCGCGAGTAGGAATAAGCGGTCGCACGGCTGCCTCGGTGTAGCATCGCACAAGGCAGGATCCTGCTGGATGTTTCCAGATTCTAACCACGGCGCCTTAGTCTTTGTTCAGCCTGCGTTACGCATCTCGCGCGTTATCGCGGACTTGCTTTACCCCCTATATTCTATATTATTTATTATAACGCGATTTTTCATAACGTGGTGTTCTTCAGGAACGCAACTACCGCGTTATAGGTAGAACAGACTGTATGTGTAGTATAAAACCACATCGCTGTTATCTCCGGAATTGTGACGACGCTGGGAAAAAGCGCACGATGGACAAGGAGCAGCAACAACAGAGGGTACGGTCACCCAATGGGGAGGAGGAGCTGTGTTCGAGGAACACATAGCCGCGAGAATGCCGGGGTTGTCCACTTTTGTGAGAGAACCGTTCACATTACAAGGGGAAATCTTAAATTCAACTCTGAACTTCATAGGAAGCCAGTGAAGAGAGGCCAACACCGGACGGATTTCTTCACATGTCGGAGATTCTTGATACGATTCTGGCAGCCGAGTTCTGGACATGATATGAAATAATTGCTGGGAGAGTTTTATAAGCACATTGCCTCTGTCCACGATACAATAGACCGTCGATTATCCACGTGTGGTTTATCCGATTTGCAGATTAACCGCGCACCTGAGATAATAACTTAAATTAATAACTCACCGATTTTTTTCTTGAGCCCAAATTAATAATCTAATAATATAAAAAAAAAATTATTTGAAAACACGCTTTAATTAAATGTACCGTACTAGAAATGGAAGAACTCCACGACTCCAGGAAGTGGCCCCGAAGCTTGCCATAACATAAGGGGCTGTGGTGATTTACAGGCAACTTGAGTTGACCGTAGACAATTAGACCCAAGCCGAAACATAACATATAAAAAAGAATGTTTAAAAATATTTGTATTTTTATTTTTAATGATAGAATATAGTATTGTTATCAGTATGACATAAGTATATCAAATTTGCAGTCGATACCACATTGGGAAGTGGGTAAAAATTGAGTTACAAGATTTGAGGATACAACAACAGTTAATAAAAAGCGTGAAAAAACAGTTATACCTTGTTATTCTTGGAAATGTTTATTATAAGTCATGCGGTGCTTAAACCAAACAATTATGTTGCTAAGGTTAATCCAAATCCACGTGATCACCCCTACAGTACAGTAGCTGCAATATCTTTAAAACAGTGGGCGGAGTTTGATTGATGTTGATTGGTGTGGCTCTACTATCATCCACTTAGTGCGCCGACTCTTTCTGCGCAGGAGCAGGAAAGTGTTATCACTAAGCAAGCGCATCGATCGGTAGGATTTTTCAAACCTGTTTAAGTGAGTGTTTTTATATGGACTTTTGTAATAAAACAAGATCAATATATAATTTGTATCTATATTCATGGTTTTTGGCATAGAGATCCGTGGTAAATGGTTATATTTTTAAATTATCCACTATTCTGAATGATCCGTGGTGGTCCTCCCCATCATTAGTGTGGATAATCGAGAGCCTACTGTATAACCTCCATTATTAACACAACTGGAATATAATCTGTGATGAAGCAAGGCAAGTTTTGCCTTTTTCTCTGCGATGCGATCCAAAGCAAACTCACCATCACATACGTCCCCGTCCGATAACTCCACCTCGATGAAATTTTGATCTGGATTGTCGGCATGCCCATGGGAATCCCCCGTTTCCTCCGGTCTCTCACTGGCATCTTCAACTTGAAAAGAATTTGGATCCGTAACTGCAATTTATAAAAAAAACATTGTTTTTACAGCATTGTCTTTCATATGTGGACAGTCTCGTACTTTCAAAAAAGGCAGTTAAAAAGGTCAGCCCATTACCCCGAGCACCGTGAGAATGATAGAACGTTGCGTTTGGTTATGCCCTTTGAGTCTTAAGTGTTGAAAGTCACTGAATCGGAAGTAATACATTTCCAGCAAAGTAAACTTACACCACCACAGGTGCTATTTTGATAGCCAAATGTAAGAATAATCCCTCATTTCCTCTGATCTTTCACTGGCTTTTGGATTAGGAACTGCACAATTATATATTACAAATAAAATCCACTTATTGTATTACCTACACAGGGAAGTCTGATACACATATATAAAACAAGGTGGTTACAAAAGGTCAGCTCATTATCCGACCACTAATGCATATCAATTTGCCCAAGTTGAGCTGTGTGAGGCCTGGATGTTAAAATGCAATAAATTATTATAAATAATTCAATAAAATGCATAGGATACTGGACATCTGTGAAAAAGGGCTTCATAGCTCATCGGATTTCTCCAGTATAAATGTTCTTATTCTGATGATATAAAGCCGTTTCCTCCTTATACTTAGAATTTTTTATATCCCGCCTTATTTCGGTTCTTTGATTCTTGTTTATCGCCCCACCTTCCTATACGACAGGGCTCTTACCATCTTCCTCGACTTCCGTTTTCACGATAATCCTCAGTATATCAGTGCCCAGACTCTCTTCATCTTCTTGCTTCACAACTGTCCCTGCACACGTACGTTCACAAACAACTGTTACTGACAATAGTTGCTGAATCTGGCAGACAGAGGTGTCTGGATGTATGTAAGTATAGTCTGTTCTCCTATAATGCGAGATTGGATATAACACAATCAATGTATTATCGGGAACACATTTTTTATAACGCGGATGTGAATTGGAAACAAGACGATTGAGTGAACAGAACTACGTCACCCGAGTAGGAATAAGCAGTTATATGGGTGCCTCGGCATAGCATCACACAAGGCGGGATGCTGCTGGATGCTTCTAGATGCTACCCACGCGCCTCTGTCTTTGTTCAACCTGCGTTACGCATCTCACGTCTTATTGCGGACTTTGCTTTGCTCCTATATTATAATGCAATTTTTCCATAATGCAGTGTTCTTCAGGAAAGCAACTATTGTATTATAGAACAGACTATACGTTTGTTGAACTTCTTCCGCACAGTATGAAGCCAACCGTGCTAATCGGAGGTGTGGGGGAAGGGCAGCAAACTAAACACAAAAAGCAGTCCTAAAGAAATGCGTTTTAAATGTAATGATTTAAAAGTGCATAGCTCCAGAGGCTTTCTAATATCGAAAGAGCGCTCCAGATGGTCGCAAAAGCGCATCTGAAAGGGCGCGATTCAGGTGCACAAGAACTCACACCCCTACATTCCTGGATGTCTAATCTGTGTTTCAGCAGCCTGCGATGAAAAAACTCAGTTGTCAAAAGCAGCAGGTTGATGGTCTCAGCCCAGCCACCAATGAACACGCGTAAATCATTGTATAACATTTGAATTTAGATTTTATTTAGTGTAAACCATTGGTAAAAAGTTTGGTTGTATTTATATGCAATTAAACCTCTTTTTGGAGAACAACACTGCAGTTATCTGTGCTACGTTGTGGGCACGCTTGGCTCAGGCAAGTGATGCAAATGGCCACACCTTTGTGGCGTGACACACCGAGAACACAGCTGGACAATTAGGGGAAAAAAACGACGCGAGCAAAGTCTTGTTCATTACGAGGTGAATTAACGTCCCCCCTCTCTCGTCTTTAAAACCAGGGTAAGGCCCAACTGAGCCGTCTAGCTCTTTTTTAGAAGCCACGTGGTCATCAAAAATGATAGCTCAACCAAGCGGGCTTATTGTCATCACGTGGAAATTGATCACAGCTGGCAAATCACTCGAAACGTGTGATGTTGATTCTAAATGTGGAGGGAAAAAAACCAGAGGACACGGACAGAAAAATCCACGCAACCACGGGGAGAAAGACACGCTAACTCCAAATATACAGAAGGCGTCAGGGTCGGGATCGAACCCACGACCTCCTGTATACCAGGCGAGGTAGTTAACATCACCTAACCACCGCGACGCCCTTTCTGGAGCTCCTAAAAGTCAGCAGAGCCTCGCGTCATCACCTGAGGGAATGGCCACGGAAGATGACTCCACAGAACGATTTCAAGAGGAGCCTCCGCTTCGCCAGACCTCTCGTAACTCAACACCAAATGACACTCCGTACTTTGTGGTTCGCCGTGTTTAATCGGTGCTGCAATAACTGAGGTTTGATGATCACAATCACTGCCACCAAACTCCTTATTGACTGCCTCACCTTCATTCGACTCGACTATTGAAATTATTTCACGATCGGTCTACCATCCTATGCCTTCAAACCACTCCCAACAAATTCAAAACGTCGCTGCCCGTATGATCTTTAATCTTCCCTTCCATTCCCACAGATCGCCCCTCCTCGTTCAGCTCCACTGTCCTCCCCCCTTATTATCGTTGCCTTTTTAAATTCCTTACCTTAGTTTATACATCTCTCCACGGCCGGGGCTCCTCTGACTTACCTCTCTTCTCGCATCTCACTTTATGTTCCTGCCCCGCTCCTCTGGCGTTCTAAATCTTCGCCGTCTCTTTCTGTTGCTCTTCCTCCACCTCATCAGTGCTGCACAGTCCTCTTCGCTCGTTCCCTCTCCTAGCCCCCTCTTCCCTGGCATCAGCTGCCCCTGCACACCAATCATCACTCTCTCTCCCTCTCGCTTACCTTCGGCTCCTCTCTTAAACCCCACTCGTTCTCTCTTTCCCCACCCTTCCTTCTGCCCTTGTTGTCCTCCCCACTTGCACTAACGCATACCGTGTCAACCCATAGGGTTTACCCCGTATTCATGAAGAGGAAATGGAGTTTTCAGGTCCAAAGCGGTGTACAGCCGTTTCAACACGGGCAAAACTTAGTTTTGCCTATTTGTTTGTGTTTCTCCCCTGTGGTGGGAATTTGTAGGATGAACGTTGTCATTTATAAGGGCACGGGGTGACCAATAAGGTCTGAATTGATCTGTAATAAGGTAGGCGCTGACAAGGGGATGACAAGTAAGGGGTTGACAGGTAAGGGGTTGACAGGCAAGGGGTTGACAGGCAAGGGGTTGACAGGCAAGGGGTTGACAGGTAAGGGGTTGACAGGCAAGGGGTTGACAAGTATGGGGTTGACAGGTAAGGGGTTGACATATAAGGGGTTAATTTTACATATATCCCATTCACTCATCTCGCCAACCACCTTGTACCACGGTTAGTTCACTGTGCAGCGCCTTAGTTAAGGCGCTATATAAATATATGATAAGATTACAGGAAAATACTTGCGAACGCATCTCACCGGCATCTGCATCTTCGTGTTTAACCGTCAAGTCGGGAAACATCTCGATGCTTGCGTTCTCTTCATTCACGGGTTTCATCGATGGCGATTTCACACACGAAGCCATCTGAACTATCACGGAGTTGTAACACGGCTCCTTGAATTAAGCGAGGTTATTATTGTTGTTGCTGTTAAGAGCTTTGGGGAGGGGAAGGAGGAGAAAAAAAACGATGGGAGGTAATTACAAAGTGCTGCAAGTGCTTTGGATTTTTTTTTTAACGATGAGTGTTTTGACCTGCAGTGTTGTGTGTGGGTGAGTGAATGTTTGTGGGAAGCGGTGGTGCAGTCGTTAGCGCGCTGCTCCCTACGAACCTGGTCACAGGAGTTCGATTCCCGCTCACGGCACAACACCAGAACCGGCGGTTCGGCGAGTCAATGGAAATCGCTGTGATCTGCAGTACGTCCGTGCGTAGTGTATAGTAGTGGCTAGAGTAGTGTATAGTGTAGTGTTTAGTAGTGTATGGTATAGTGTATAATGTTGTGTATAGTAGCGTATCATGTAGTGTATGTATGTTGACCTTCTTTCGCACCGCACATAGCCAACCGTGTGAATCGGAAGTGCCGGGGGACGGACGGGCAAGAAGTCGGGTGGTCGAACGACGGAGTGTGGGGACGACACGACCTCAATCGGTGAGCAGAGCTCACGGGGGTCGAAGCCAAGCCCACGGTAGCAGCGATAGAAGGGTGATGAGGAGGCGACTGACCAGCCGATGAGCGAATGTCTCTGTGCGTATCTCCGTGTCTCTCTGTCAGTGTCTCTCAGTGACTGCGTGTCTCTCACTGTCAGTGTCTCTCAGCGTCTCCGTTGTCTCTCTCACCCCGTCAGCTGTCTGTCTGTGTTGTCTATCCGTGTCGTCTCCACATGTCTCTTGCCCCATCCCACACACGTTGTTTGCCTTTCAAGCGACAAGATGCGACACAAGACAAGAAGCGTTCTGCTACAAGATGCGGCACAAGATGGGGTTAAGCCACGCGGTCATCGGCTTTCTCGACCAATATCCATAATAAGAGGGGGTTTTGTGTGGGTGTGTTTTGGGTTAGAACGAGTACATATAAATGCGTCGTTAAACCCGCCACAGCCAATTAGTAAGGGGTTTGTCACGTAAACAAAACATGCCAAATTCGTTACTAGTTCGGCACACACCGATTGTGTGTTGGAGAGTAAAAATCATTTAGTTACTGTGCGTGAGATGTGAACAACAAATCTAAACACATTCGGCATAAAAAGTTAAAAACAAGCATACGGTGTATGAAATGGGACCTTTTTTGCCAGTATCAAAGTGTGTCAGACCAGGCGTTCTCAGGTCTGACACTGTTGAGACTGGGCCCTAAAGAAGGTTATCTCTGGTGTAGGCCAATTAGTTTCAAAGCCAATATATTATAATCAGAGCATGTTTGTTTGCATGTCTTTGGTGTTTGAACATCTTAACACAACCTGTTTTTTATACGGCTTTTTTTTGGTTAGAGTGATCTAATGCGATCTAACCCAAACACCTTTGTTATGAATAATATTGGTCGCGAAAGTCTACGTGTTAAACTGACCACCTGTTTTATTGCCTAAATAAAGGGTAAAAATTCTTATTTAGTTTTCACACTGTATATAATGGGCGACGTTTCGTGCAATGGCTCTTCTGCATAGTGTAGAAGCGTGAAGTGAGATGGAGTTGAGGGTTTACAAAGTATCTCTGCGTTTAACTCACTCCCGCTAGTTTGTAATATTTGTCGAATGCTACCAATATTCTGGCCATGACGCGCCCTGTTCAATCGAAGCCTAATTTTGGTGTCCTATGATTAAGGGCCATTGAAACGTTGCCTCTCGCATTAAACTGCACTGTGTAAGAACATCACTTTTCCTTGCTGGATTCCCTGTTTGAATACCTGCCTGGCACGCGGCCAAGTGCTGGCGTCAATTTCTACGTGATGATGATAAGCCACATTCGTTGAACTGCTATCATTTCTGATAGCCAGGTTGCTTCTGAGAAAAAATAGCTACATAGCTCAGTGGGCCTTACCTGGTCAAATAAAAGGTTAAAATGGTAAAATATATATGGAAAGTACTCGGTTAACGCGCGGTGTTCACACAACACGTTTTCGCTATAACACGGTTCTTTTATTCAGGAACGCGCCCGCTATAACGCGGATCGTACTCATTATAATGTGGAACCCGCTGGTTATAACGTGGGATGATTCAGTACAAAGCGGCGAAACCTCATTTCAGTTATTTGTCCCGCCATGGGATGACAGCAGGCCGATTTTATCGTGCAATTATCGTGCAAATTATCATTTTTTTGAATGCATTCATGCCATGTAATATATAGCATCTTCTTTTTGTCGTATGGCGGCTGATGTATTAGATGCAGAGTAACGACTTACATATTCTTTGGGTCTTTCGGTAAAGTCACGTAGATAGGTTTATATAAGCAACATGGAGCCACCATATAAACTGGACCTACCAAAAGCTGATATAAACTCTTGTTGCAGCAGCTCTTTCTACTACGTCAGCAGTTATCCTGCTGTGTTTGTTTCACCTGATGATGGTTGCTTGTGTTGCGATCGAAACGTCGTGATTTATTAATTTTCTATCTACGTGACTTTACCGAAAGAACCAAAACGTATAAGAACCATTGTTCTTTCTTTGACTGTTTTTGAGATATTTCGGATTCAATTGGGTTTGAATGAAAAGCTATGCATTTTACAATGTTCAAAACTGAATAATTCGAAAACTGTAAAAGATAGGAGCTTCCCCTCATAGAGTATGAAGTTAATTCATGTTTGTTCTTTCTCATACAAATTTATGTAATCTTTAAATTGAGCGGTTTCCAATGGGTACATCTTTAAATATAAGAAGTTGAATCACGTCGTCATTTTTTTTCTTTTTGCAGAAAAATATAATTTTTGGGAGTAGTTAGTGTCTGATCATAGATAAAAATAAATAGTAAAAAAAATCATATCAGGTTAATTATTATATTGATTGAAAGGTTTTGCCTGGTGAAGACAGGCTTTATGAACTAGTATAGGTATAAATTATGTTTAAGTTAAGAACATTGAGAAGCACAACTGACGATTTTGTTGTTGCTCATTGCACAGTTTCGTAAATTAAAACTCACAAAATAAATGATTGGATAAATCACTCAAATGTAGCACAACTGACGATTTCGATTTGTTACTCTTTCGATTTAGAACGAATACTAACGATCGACCGATCGATGCACGTGCTCAGTGATAGTAACACTTTCCTACTCCCGCGCTGAAGACTCAGTCCACTAAGTGAATGATAGCAGAGCCATGCCAATTCACATCAATCAAACTTTTCCCGCTGCTGTAAAAATATTGCAACTACAGGCAATCCTCAGTTTACATGATTTTGTGGTACGCAATTTTGGAATAACTCCTGCTTTGTATTTAGACATTTTCTTGACATACGCCAGGGGTGTCCAAACTTTTTGCAAAGAGGGCCAAATTTGATAAAGTGAAGATGCCCGGGGGTCAATAGTTCCTTCCGACATTTTTACCACAAAAGTTACGAAAACACACACTGTTATAAAACAATTATCATTGTCACAATTACCTTTATTTTTCAAATGACAATGTAACCAAATATAAGCCACTCAGGCAGACGTGAACAACTCTAAAAACACAATTCTGCCTTTCATTCAGTCAGATAAGATTGAACAAACTGTATAGAATACCTTAAATTTCCATGAGTTAAATATATTTGCCTCATGAACATTTTAAACATGAGTTATAAGTAATGCAAAGTGGTCTGTTATCATTAAACTTTAAAACAAGTGAATTTTGCCCTTGTCTTTTACAAGATCTTTCAGAAAGCAAGAGTTTGTGTCACATCTACAGGTACATACCATCAACAGTTATAACCAAATCTTATTCAAGAGTTTAATAAAACAAGTGCCATAAGCCCAAGTGCATTAGTGTGCTTTAGGCTTTTCACTGTTAATAGTGACAGATGTTACCGTTCAAAACACTCAATTTCAGATTGATCAAGGAACAGATAACTTGCTGACACTAATGAGAAGGGTGATACTGAGATCTAGATTTCAGTAAAGAGACCAGGTCTGGCTTGAGGGCAGTGGTAGAGATGCGTAAAATGCCACGCAAGTGGGAGTCACTCATCCTTGACCTCAATCGGTTCTTGTTTAAGTTCATGACTGAGAATGTTTGCTCACACAAATATGTGGAGCCGAATAAGCTCAACATTTTCTTAGCGAATGACCGCATTTCTGGAAACCTGCTTTTGTCCAGCTGCCGGTAAAAGTTAACAAGAGAACACTGCTGGTGTTTCCCGCGGCACTCATCGTCAAACTGCAGCTCAATGAGCTCCAGCTGCAGCTGTGGAGGAGCATCATCAGGGTCCACGGAGAAGGGGGAAGAGAAAAGCAAAATGTCCTTTTCAATAACTGCAGAGTCCCGAAAGCATTTGTTAAATTCCACAGAAAGTGATGCGATAGCTGTTGCATAACTCTTCATTTACGCACCGATGTCCTGTGGGAAACTGTCAATGACCTCTTTCAAAGCTGGGAAGTGTGCGGTGCAGGGCTCTGTTTGGGACAAGTGTTTTTCGAAAAGTTGCAGTTTGGTTTCAAAGGCCTTGATGTAAGCATATAGCTGGCTCACCACTGCATCTTTCTCTTGAAGATTAACATTCAGCACATTCAGATGCTTCGTTATGTCAACCAAAAAGCCAGATTTGCCAGCCATACAGGATCGAACAGTTCTTCCATTGGTTGTCCCTTCTCACCCAAAAAATGTCCAATTTCCTCTTTGAGAGAGAAAAATCGCTGCCGTGCGGACTCCCGACTTAGCGACCTCACGTCGTTGTGATATATTACGTCACCGTATTCAGCCTGGATGTCACGCAAGAACTGCTGAAAGTGTCGGTGGTATAGAGCTTTAGAGCGAATAGAATTGATTGCCTTTGCCACTGGTTTCATAACATCGTCAAATTTGAGATGTTTGGCGCAGAGAGCCTGCTGGTGAATGATACAGTGAAGTTTAATAGCGTTGCCTGCTTCTTCGCTGACTTTATTGCAGATCAGTGTGAACAATCCACTTCGCTCACCAGCCATGGCAGATGCACCATCGGTAATGATCCCAGAAACTTTACTCCATGGTAGTTTCATATCATCAACAGCTTCACAAACAGAAACGAATACATCTGTTCCTCTGGTTTGCCCTTTAAGGCTTTTGAGGTCAAGCAGCTCCTCTGTCACGTTCATGTTGTCATCAACTCCTCTTAATGAAAAGAAGTAGTTGTGTAGTGTCAGATGCATTGGTGCTTTCATCGCAGGCTAATGAGAAATAATCAAAAGCCACTCCCCTGTCCCCCAGTTGTCTCTGAATATCTGACGATATGTCCTCAACTCTCCGTGCCACAGTGTTGCGTGCCAGGCAAACATTCATAGATTCTTGCTTCTTCTCGGGGCAAATGTTCTCCACCATTTTCATGACACAGTCTTTGATAAACGCACCTTCAGTAAAAGGTTTGCCATGTTTAGCTATTAACATGGCCACTTCGTAGCTGGCTTTGGTGATGTTTTCCTTTGACTCACAGGCCGGCGTGAAGAATCGCTGTTGCGATGCCAGAGCAGCTTGAAGTTGCTTTACTTTTTCAGCGCGGTCACTCCCTGTTAGCGTGTCGTATGTTGTAGCATGTTTAGTCTCGTAGTACCTCTTTACGTTGAAATCCTTAAACAAGGCAACCGTCTCTTTACAAATTAGACAAACACAATTTCCTCAATTTCCAGTGAAGAAGTATTGTAATTCCCACCGCTCCTGAAAGCGGCGGCCCTCACTGTCAACTTTTCTCTTTTTTTTTGCAGTCGCCATGGCAGAAATGATTCGAGAAGGGTTCGCGGCACAGATGCAGAGC